AAGTAAAAGTACTGCCATATATGGTAATGACCCAACTCAGAGAAGAATTCTGGATTCTGAAGTTCAGAAAGACTGTTCGCAAAGTTATCAGAAAGTGCATAATTTGCAAACGATTCGACCCAATCGTAACTCCAACTGCTCCATTGCCTGTTGACCGTCTAAGAGCAGCTTCTGTATTTGAAATTACGGGAATAGATTTTACAGGGCCTCTCCATCTAAGAGAAAATCAGAAGTTGTGGATTGTCATTTATACCTGTGCTGTGTTTAGAGCAATACATCTGGAACTGACTACTTCACTGTCCACTGAAAGTTTTCTACAGACTTTTCGAAGATATGTGGCTCGTAGAGGAAGACAAGCTATCGTTTACTCAGACAATGGAACAAACTTGGTTGGAGCGAACAATCTTCTTAAAAAGATTAATTGGGATGCAGTAGTTAAAAACAGTGCAGTGAATAAGATTAACTGGAAGTTTATCCCCCCATCTGCACCTTGGTGGGGTGGCTTTTGGGAACGTTTGATTGGAATTCTCAAGCGAATACTTCGCAAAGTCTTAGGTCGGACGTCTCTCAACTTCGAAGAATTAAATACTGTCTTATGTGATTGTGAAAGTATCATCAATGGACGACCTCTCACGTACGTCAGTGAAGATATAAGTGATCTAGTGCCTCTTACTCCCAGCATGTTCCTTCAAGAGGTCAGAGAAGTTGGACTACCAGACCTGGATCTCTTGGACAGCAAATCTTTGAAAAAAAGGTTTGCCTACCGTCAAAGATTGAGACAAGGTCTGAGGAAACGTTTTCGTTCGGAATATTTGGGACAGCTGAGGCAATTCGATAGAAAAATGCGAAGTTCTTCACCTACCAAAATAAGCGATGTTGTGCTGATATCCAGTGACAACACAAAGAGACTGGATTGGCCTCTAGGGAAAGTCATCGAAGTATTCACGTCACGAGATGGAAACATCAGACTTTTTGATATCTTTTGGTAATACCCAAAAGATAGTGTTTTACTGACATTTAAGTAGACCCCATACCTCTGAAGAAACCCTTCATGGCGAATTCTCTATAATCTATATGGCTAGTTAAAAATTTGAAGTTCAGAAAAAAATTAGTTCAGATAAATCCAAAATGAACCATGAAGTTTCAAATTTTTATTTATTTATTTTCTTCTTCAAATTATCAAAATGAAAATTAATTATGGCAGGATTACTGAGGATAAAGTAGTTAGGTTAATTATCCGCCAATAATTAGTTTGTATTTTGAAAAAAATTTTTCAGCATTTGAAATTTCATGATTTACACAAGGTTTACCTTTTCTCTTAGCTTTAAATTTTGAAGGAAAAATAGAATTTGCAGGAAAATTTTCTCTCATGATATAGCAAAATATAGTGATCATGATATAGTGAAGCGGAGTTAAACAATTTGTGCAGTAAACAGCACGATTCATTAAATAAGTTATTTTAATAAAAACAAAGGAAAAAAAAATCTTTCTAACAACATAAAATTTTAAACTCATTTTTACAACCATGTGTAAAACTAAACTTTATAAAAAAAAAACTTAGGTAAAAGATTTATTTTTTCGCATTTGCAAGAAAAGAATGATCAATAAAATATATTTGCTTTATTTCGCTATTCTTATTCCAGCAGAGGAGGAAAAGATTACAGAAGTCACGTGATACACGGGGGTTCCAAAAATAGTTGCAGCAGCCTACTTCTGATTTCTAACCTTCATGTTCTTCCGGAGTAAGATGCTCAGGCAAATCACTAAATTAACTTTAAACGGTGGCTGCAGCATAGAGCCACATATTTATAAATGGTGAGTGTGGCCAACTATTGTGTGGAAACTGAGAAATTTTAAAAATTAATTAGCTAAAAAAATCCTTGAAAACCATCGATTTTGGAATAAAGGTCATGAAAATTTTAGTGACATCCTAGCTTGAGAGCATATTTTCAAATTTTTTTACTGGAGAAGTTTTTTCCAGGGTGCGTAGCCAAATTATTGAGCAAAAATAAGCACCTTTTAAGCACTTTAAAAAAATATCATAAGGCAGGGTTAGAAAGTTTTAGACGATCGACGGTTTTATCTTGTTTTAACAGTCATGTAAAAAAAAAACCTTTTAACATTGTTTTTGACAATTGTCAAAAATCATGAAATTTTGAATCATGTAAAATGAATGGCGTTTTCATACGCTACGGACTTTCTATACGCCGAAATAGACTGGGGTTGAATTAATTGTGAAAACGTTGAATAGAGCAATGTGAACTGTGTCTTTTTGCATGATTTGAAGTGAAAATCTATATAATTATAGTAAAGGAAAAATCTCATTTTGAGAAAAGGAAAAATAACCACTTCTTAAAAACACCCAATGAAAAAAGCACTTTCAAGAGCTTTTAAAAAACGAAAATAAGCACCTTTTATAAACGTTACTCACCCTGTTTTCACTAGTACCACATTGATATTATAAATTGTGTTATAAATAATTGTTTCACTTACTAAGGATCCTTATTATTTTATCATTTTTTATTTATTTTTGTTGTGAACCTTTTACAAACAATCCCCCCCCCCCGATTAAATAGCACCAGGAATAATGTCCAAGGACAACAAATATCGATGCATAAAATCAGTTCAATCACTTTAGAATTTTTTAAAAATAGTTTTATAATAATTGAAGTTGCTTTATAATAAATTGTACTTCTCTGGTTCATTGAAGTTAAACAAATCGTTATTTATTAAAACTAAATTGCAAGCAATGCTTTACTTTTTTTTTTTTTTAATATGATCAGACCTAAAGCTTATTCGAAATTATCGTTTATAGGAATAAAAACAATACAAAATTTACTGATTGAGCTACAATTAATTCTTAATTATTCATTAAATTTTCAAGCAATAATTTCTTGAATTTTACTATTATTTATTGTGTTTTTTTTCCCTCTGTAAATGATTTATTCAGTGAAAATTTGAAGATCCAATAATTAATGTTCTGCCTACAACCTCAATCAGCTCCATAGCTAATATAATTCATTATATTTAAATACAATTGATAAAAATACTCAAGAAAGAAGTAAAAAAAGTCAATATTATCGAAAGCCAATTGCCAAAGAGCTTGAGGCCAAGTCGACAAACGATTTTTTGAAGAGTGGGCAGGCATTAGTTGTTTTTTTCTTTTTGGAGTTCCCATGCCTTCTGCATTGAATTCAAAATTACAATACTGTGGAACTGAACATTCATAGACATAAGCCCACAATCAATCATAATTTATTAAAATTAAATTGAAAGCAATGCTTTATTTATTAATATCTTAAAAAAAATAGATTAAACCTAAAGCTTATTTGACTAACGTCTATCAAAACAAGAAAAAAACAAATTTTACTGATTGAATTACTATTAATTCTTAATTATTCGTAGAACTTCCAAGAAATAGTTTCTGTCTGAAACTTCATTTTTTTTTTTCCTTTGAAAAGGATTTAGTCAGTGAAAATTCGGTCTAATAATTAATATTCTGCCCACAACTGTGCTTTTCAACGTTGGTTACAAAATAAAGTCAAACAGGCTTTGATCTTTACCTGTTCCGCCTGGATCAGTAATGTTTCAATAATACTTTTGACTATTAGTTATAAATTTGCTTTCTTACTTTTCGAACAAAATATTTAAGTATTAGCAAAATATTGCGACACTACATATAGTCAAGTTCACTTAGTTTTATAACTGGGAAATAGCTATGGGGTAAATGTTTTAATATTATAGTGGTGTAAGTTTTTAAAATATTTATTACTATAAATACCATACACTTTCGACGAAGTATAATTATTTCAAACTCACAATAACAAAAATATTTTTTTTTTTCCCTTTCGAAGGATTGTTTTAAAATCCTTTAGTAAAACATTTCCACCCTTTAAATCTGCAATGCAAGCAACTTACCAGAAGTTTAGATAGACTCAGGGTTCATGCTCTACTATAAAAATAAAATTCAAGTACTTTTCAAGGACTTTTTAAGACTTATTATAAAATTCTCAAGGACTTAAATTTTAGTTAAAGATAGACTAAATTGTAAGATTTTAAACTAAAATGTTTTGACGATAAATGCTAGTCGATAATAGCAGTACTGAAAAATAAGACTTATATTGCTCTCTCTTGATTTCAGAAAGTGATATAATAAAAAAACAAGGGTGATTGGCATCAAGTCGAGAATAAAATTCATGATGCATAAAAACGTCAGGTTTGAATTTTGCATAAAGGCTTATTTTAAGCTAGGTATACAACCTCTGAATAAGCAAAGATTCGGGCAGAAGACGGGGTAGGGGGGAATGTTCTATATAATACTGTGATATCAATTAGATATTTAAAAACAACTCTGCCGGGAAACTTTTATTTAATATTTAAAGTGGCAGAAGCATTTAGACAGTGAAATTTAAATTGTTCTTAAATATAATTTTGAAATTTTGACCACTTTTCTATTTAAGAAAATTAATCAATTATTGGATGTTGCGGCTTGATTATCATTTTAAATTTATTACCAGTCAACCATTTTAAATTGAAACAGTTGCCAACTTTCACCTCAATACCTTCTGATAGATTCTTAGTAACAATTTTGGTCACTGACTTTTTTAATTAACCACTCATACTTGAATTAACTTTTTTTCAGTAGCATCGATCATACGCACTTGACATGGTCACGTGAATATGAATTGCAACGAGTAGTTTTCAAATCGAGTATAAATACGAAAATCGATGTTTGATATCGCAAAATGCGTGAATACGAATAGCGACATTGGATTTTAAACTCGCGGAAAAACTAATTGCGCTAAAAAAACGCTTAAGTACAAATCGCGATATTAGATTTTTAAATTGCTTTAATGGGAATTGCGAGTACGATTTTTGAATCACGCGAAAACGAATTGCAACAC